AAAAGAATCATTGATGATAATCAATTATGGATTTCACAACAAAACAACAAATTGTGTAAATCGAATTGATTATAGGTCACCTTCAATCATTTACATATATAAAAGTAAACTTAACTTATATACCTGGAAAAAAGGAATTTGTCATTTCAAAGACTACTTTGTATAAAGATGAAGGTCGAACCTTGACAAAAACCAATCATTTAAGCCTATCACAATCGAGTGTACTACATTTTTTCAAATTTTATTTCGTGAGTAGGTCCTGTAATGGAACTTGTCTTTCATAGAATACGCACAATAGCATGCCACTAGATAAAAATGTTATCAAGATGACAAACCATATCTAATATATACTACGGTTCAAGTAGTACGTGAAACTCGACAAGAGTATACACACCCTTATCTTCATTCGATTGAAAGCAGACTACGTATATTAATGATAACGATTGTCCGACCTAAAGACATGTAAAAGGTTCAAAAAGTTAGTGGAATGAATCCATAATTCTCCCCTGAGTACAAATCTAGAGAAAAAATATAATAGAGGTGGTATTATGAAATCCAAACCGGAATTTATACGCGTACAACAAATGGAACACAGGTAATGAAGTAACTCCTACATAAGACCAATCCAAACCCGTCAAAAAGTAATGATGAATATAAACTTCAAGCTTACATGCATTGATTTATTTTTCCCCCAAAATGCGCAATTTATACCAAATTGTAATTTATCTGAATTCAACGATTCTGGAAATTCAACGATTCTGGAAACACATAGTTAGGATTTAGATATTTACATTTATTATATTATACCATAGCAGAACTACTAGCACAACATAATAATAACTTGCATTAATACAGTCAACAAACACACAGACGTGTGTTTCTAATATTTTCCAGCATTTTTGTAGACACACTGTGACATTGTCTACATGTCCGGGTCAATGGTCAGCTGGTTGATTAGGTCTTTGTAGTAGACAACGTTCTTCTCATGGTCAGCCAGTGCTGTCAGCATCTCATCCATCTCCTCCTGGGTGAAGAGCTCACCTGGTTTACACAAAAACAACACAGCCATGGTTTCAAAACTGTTTGTACATTATAAGATGTTTTGAAAAAATAGTAGGGGGAATGTAAGACACACAAAAAATATCTATGAGATGATCTGCCCCAACAAGTCACAAAGTAAAACCTGAAGGCTTCTGCTTTTACCTTCCTGTGTCATGTACTTTGTCAGCTCCTCAGGCTCTAGGTATCCTTTCTTCTCTTTGTCCAGAACCTGGAAATATAGAGTTATTGATTTTCTGCTTTAACAAATATCAGTTACTCTGATGTTAGTGTCACTCTGCTGACAGTATGATATCTGCAGAGACTCGAAGGGTCCAAATTTATTTATATACTGTTCAGACGCGGGAACTACAACACTGGAGAATATGAGGAGCCTACACACGGCGGCGTGCGTTGCCGCTTCAACGCTTCTGCCCATTCACGTTGAATGGGGTGACGTCACCATTCACC